GCCGGAACGCGGCGGAACCGCGTTCCGGCACCTTTTTCCGGGCCGGCCGCACCGGAAATAGCCCCTCCCACACCGGAAATAGCCCCTCCCAAATTTTACTTGCATTCCTGTTCTCTAAAGGGGCGGTCCTAGGGTTTGATGAGGGCGTGGCCAGGTTTGAGTTCCGCCACCTTTTCTCCGAGAAAAAAAGCCCTGGCAAAACCTAAATAAATCAATTGTAATCAAGTGAAATGAGCCAAGTGTGGACAGAGTGTGAATCAGTCTTCTGTGTGATCAAACTACTACAGATCCTTAAACACAATACTTTTATTATGTAATCAACCTGCCTAGGACAGTTCAAGCCATTCACAATTTCCATCTCGACTCTTCCATCTTTTTTATATCACAAGAAGGAAGTGTGGAACAATTCTGCATTGTTTTATATTAATTCGGCTAGAAGGGTCTGTCTATATGTATTCTAAATCAGTGATGTTTTTTCTTATGACATTGGGGCATTTATGTGGTAACCATAATTAATGTATTACATATAGATTAATAATGTATAATGTATTAACCACATTAACCAGTTTGGTCTAGTAGTTAAGGCACCAGGCTAGAAAGCCAGAGATTGTGAGTTCTAATTCCACCTTAGCCATGAAAGTCAGCTGGATGACCTTGGGCCAGTTACTCTCTCTCATCCTAACCTACCTCACAGGGCTGTTGTTGGGGGAAAATAGAAGGAGGAAGATGTGTTGAGTATGTTCGCCGCTTTGAGTTATTTATAAAAATAATAAAGGCAAGATACAAATAAATACTCATTCTGAGTTATAGGTGAACTTTTAAAATCTAATTATTGATGCCAAATATTCAGATGCTCCTCATATCTGATGTCTTTAGGAGAACAGCTCAGATCTGCTTTTCACCCAGCAAGTGCTCTAAGTTCTAATGGCTTTGAATATGCCAATATTATTTTCTTCCCAGGAGGGAGTAAACGAAATCAAGGCTACTATAGTACACAAGAACAGTCTGGGAGCAGTACTAACAACCTGAGCAATAGTCCACAAGTCCAAGCCCCAGAGAAAGTGACTCTTGTTGTAGATGGAACAAGATTTGTTGTAAACCCACAAATTTTCATAGCCCATCCTGATACAATGCTGGGAAGGTAAGTGACTCTGAGTTGTAAAGAATTCCAGAAGCCATTCTGCATGCTTTCCTATCTTAGAGATATGACCAGGCTAAGCAGGAGTCTGAATGGTATGTGTAAAGTTATAACAAGTGCTTAGATTCAGTTTTCCTATTCAGCGTTAGCAATTCTATCACAATTTCTAGGTTTCAAAAAGTAGAAAACTTTGTAAAGCCTAAATAGTTTTCATGATAGTCCCAAATGACAACTTGCTCATATAGAAATTATTCTTTGCTTAAGTGGTCTTAATCTGATCTACTTGCCTTACTTTCTTTCTGCTTTCCAGAATGTTTGGACCAGGACGAGAATATAACTTCACTCGTCCAAATGAGAAGGGTGAATATGAAATTGCAGAAGGCATCAGTGCTGCTGTTTTTCGGATTGTGCTGGTGAGGAATTCCATGATGTTTCAAAAGCAGAACTATTCTTCCTATTTATAAAGTTCCTATTCTTGCTTTCAACTTCAAGGGAATTCTGAATTTCTTGATAAGCATTTTCTATTCTGTTTAGACTCCAGATTTTTCTCTCTCGTTTTTCCCCATTTTGTTCTTTTAAGGCAGGGGTAGTCAACCTTGGCTCTTTTATGACTCGTGGACTTCAACTCCCAGAATTCCTGAGCCAGCTGTGCTGGCTCAGGAATTCTGAGAGTTGAAGTCCACGAGTCATAAAAGAGCCAAGGTTGACTACCCCTGTTTTAAGGGAGTCCATATCATTTGATTTGTTAGATTTATATTTCATCTTCCCTCTAAGAGCTCACACAGTTATTTAGGGATCTTGGTGCATTTTTATTCCCACAACATCAAACCAGTTATATAGGTTAGCCTGAAATAGAGTGATTGATCTAAAATCACCTAGTGAGTTATAGTGGTTAAGAGCAGAGCTGAACCTGGATCTCTCTGCTCCTAATACATTAAATGTATTGCTCTCCATTAAATATATTGCTCAAAGCCCATAATTGGGTTTTGAATCCCAAATCCACATGGGAAAAGACTTGGAATTCTGGGAGTTGAATTCAACTCATCTAGCAAAAACAAAGTGAACATGGTTGATATATATCAACATTTTTATCATATGATTTATTCTGTATTCCTTATTTAGGGAGGAAGGAAGAATATAACACTATTAATGGTCAGCTTTTAAAAATTATCTAGGAAAAAATTATGTGCCAACTATATATTAAAACTTAACAATATGCTTAAACTATCAGTAGATGACAGATTGCCTGTGCATGCTATTTTGAATGTTTTTGATGGAGAAATGTAATAATATTTTATCCCTTGACTTTTCAGGATTATTACAAAACTGGAATCATTCACTGTCCCGATGGAATTTCTATTCCTGATCTCAGAGATACTTGTGACTATCTTTGCATCAATTTTGATTTCAACACAATCAGATGTCAAGATTTAAGTAAGTATTAAAGCATTTATAATAGCCTTCCCAAAGAAGTGCTCTCCAGACACTCTGTCTTCAGTTCCAGAATCTTCTAGCCAACATGGGTCCATTGATCATGCTGGCTAACATTTTGGAGAGATTTTTAAGTAAGTGAGAACACTCACTTAAAGGAGAAATGTATCAATTCTATATATGTTTATGTATTTTTATGTTTTGCACTAGATCTTTCTATGGAGATGAAATTGGACTGATAGAGTTAGACCTACAATATTCAGCCATATTGAGGAAAGCCATATATTTATTTCCTTAGGTGCATTATTGCATGAACTGTCCAATGATGGGGCTCATAAGCAGTTTGATAGCTATCTGGAAGAGTTAATCCTGCCAATAATGGTTAGTAGTGCTAAAAAAGGAGAGCGTGAATGTCATATTGTCTTATTAACGGATGAAGACATAGTGGACTGGGATGAAGACTATCCACCCCCAATGGGGGAAGAATATTCACAAAGTAAGTATTTTTAAATGTTACATAAAATACTTTTTAAAGTTAAAATAACATTGCACTTTTATAAAGAAATTCTCTGTTAGTGTCTTATGCACATATCAATTTCCAAGGGTCTTTGCATTCCAGTATACAATTAAGAATATAAAAGTCATATTGATTGTGATACACTACATTGCTGAATGTAAAATTATATGCTTAAGACCATATATCATTATAAATTACATAATATAATCCTTGCAATAGATGTACAATTTAATTGCTTGGCTGAGAGATAATTTCCTTGTTACAGGAATATAACATTGTTTCTTTTAAAAGCAGTATTTTTCCATGGGAAAAAGGGAGTGCTTCCTGAAGTATTGAATGTAAAATATTTTGTATTTTGTAAAATATGATTGTGAAAGTGATATGGATATGAAATGCCTTACAATCAGACAGGGAGATGGGCGGCATATAAACCAAACAAGCAAATAAACCAAACAAACAAATACATCAACCAAACAAATCAGTATTACATTACTAATGATAAGTCATACTATTTCTTCCCTCCTCATGTCACACAGTAGGATCTTGTGCTTGGATTGAGCTAGACCAATGATGGTGAACCTTTTAGAGACTGAGTGCCCAAACTGCAACCCAAAACCCACTTATGCATCGTCGGGTGCCGGGTGGGTGTGGCCCATTGGGTGGGCGTGGCTGCGATGGTAACGCAGACTGGGTGGGACTAAAAAGTTCAATCAATCAATTTCAACTTTGCGAGATCTTTTTTTTTTCCCACGAGAAGTTGAAATTGACTGATTGAACCTTTTTTTTTTTTTTTTGCACAGGGTGGCGGAGGCCTAAAGCGAAAAGGTTTTATAAAACCCAGCTGAAGGCCTAGGACTGGGGCGACGGCGCACGTGCTCACAGAGAGGGCTCTAAGTGCCACCTCTGGCACCCGTGCCATAGGTTCGCCACCACTGAGCTAGACAATCTAATAGACTTCTTCATCTTACCCAGTCCAGGTGTGTGAATCTATTTCTGTTGCCAAGGCATAAAGAAGTGGCTCTTGGAGTCCCCTCTTTTCCAAAATTTATAAAAGTTTGACTGAGACCACTACTGCAATAGACAAAAAGCTGATTCTGAATTGTTATCTAATCAGCCTTTTTATGCACTGTTATATTTTTCTGGGATATGCCATTATCAAAGGAACTTCTGGCCTTTGAAAGAACAAGTTTTCTTGATCAATGTCCAAAGTATTCAGTGTATTTTTCTGGGTCCTTCCAGAGCATCAGCCTTTGATTTTTCAAGCTTTTACAACCCAGTGTAAATGAAGTTGTTGTTTTTTGTCTAAAACTTCTGCTGAAAAATATAGTCACTCACTGATCTACCTTTATCCTTTGCTTCCTAAAAGTAGGCCAGTAGCTGACTGTCCCCCCTTCAGAGCTTCTGTTCATCATGAATTAGCAAAGAACCCTTCTACTTCTACCAAAAACATTCTTAACATTTTTTAAGCGCCATTTTGGTCTAGTAGTTAAAGCACCAGGCTAGAAAGCAGAAGATTGTAAGTTCAAGTTCTGCCTTATCCATGAAAGCCATCTGGGTGTCTTTCGGTCAGTCACTCTCTCTCAGTCCAGCCCATCTTATAGGTTGTGGAGAAAATAGGAGGAAGGCGTAATGGATAAAAACAGGATACAAATAAATAAATGTAAAAAAGAGCCATATCTGAGTGGGGTAATGAAGAAATATGAATATATAAATCAATACACTGAAAAGCTTCACTAGCTTTTAGTGGGTATGGTGCCATGTCTATATTGCATTCCAATGTAGGGTAGCAAAGACGTGGTGGTGCCAAGACAGCATTTCTCTCTTCAGATGCCTTTCCAGATGTGACCTTGGCAGAAAGATACTAACCCATTGAAGGGTGGTTGGTGAGTTAAGGGCGAGAGTTTCTGAAGAACATTGGCAGCTTGAAAAACAAGATGAGAAACAAGATGCTAAACTTCTTTAAGAAATTAAAAAGATATGTTCTAAGTAAAACATTCACAAACAAAAGGCTATTATAAGCTCCATGAGCAAGATGCAGAATCAATGGAATGGGAAGGGAACGAGAGAGAAGTGTCACCAGGACTGTAGTATTGCTTGGCAGAGCAGAAAGAGGTTGAGGCAAGAATTTGCTCCAGGGAAAATAGATCACACTGTGGCTGCTGAACCACAGCAAGATTTTTCTGAGAAAAGCAGGAACTTCCTAATTTAAGGAAAAGAAGTAAACATTTCTGCTTTTGCAGAAATAAGAGCAAGGAAAGAAATAGAAATTGTATCTGAAAGGGAAGACTTTTGACTTTATGAAACTGCAAGTCTTTCTTATAGGATAGTAATATGGTCATTGGAAATTGCCTCTATTTTCAACTGTTATTTTTGAAAAAAAAGTTGTCCAATTATTGTTTGTCTCAGCAAATTTAAGAATAGCTGTTGTACTCATATTCATTAATTAATGTGTTTTTTCCCCCTCACCTCAAAGTTCTATATAGTTCTAAGCTCTACAGATTCTTCAAGTATATTGAGAATCGGGATGTTGCAAAAACTGTTTTGAAAGAACGTGGCCTCAAAAATATAAGAATTGGCATTGAAGGTATGTACAGTGTTTCCTAAGTAATACAAAGTGATAAAAAGGAAAGTAGCTACATTTTCCTTTTCGAAACATCAATTTATTGATTTTTATTAGTCAGCTCTATGTAGTTTTGCTGATTCCTTAAATGATAAACTTTGTTGAGGTCTTTGGAATTACCCACCTAGTCAGTTCCTGAGAAACTATTAATGCTTAGCATTCCTTGAGCTTTGCCTATTTTGGGGTGGGGTGGGTGGATGTTATTTAAAGTCTGGTCCTCCCTTCTGAAATTAGCAGCAGCAACCTGACTCAAGGCCAAACTAGACATAACAGTTCAGCTTTGTGTACTGAACACAGGAGTCAGTACACCATTTATATTTTCAGTGCAGAGAAAGTCTTTTCTTTGTGTCACAGTCTTTTTCAATCTAGTGTCTGCCTCAAGGTGTCTTGGGATCAGACCTGCCAGACCAAATGGCTTCCTTGAAGAAGTAATAAAGCTACACGTAGGGACTGGAGTTGGTTTGGGAGGATAATTATACCAGAATAACTGTGTTTCAGGTTATCCCACTTGTAAAGAGAAAGTGAAAAAGAGGCCTGGAGGACGCTCTGAAGTTATCTATAACTATGTTCAACGTCCATTCATCCAGATGTCTTGGGAAAAGGAAGAAGGAAAAAGTCGGCATGTTGATTTCCAGTGTGTCAGAAGCAAATCTCTAACAAACCTTGTAATGGCGGGTGAAGACATAGCAGAAGATCAAGAGATTGTGTTGCATCACCCTCCCCAGGTAGACGAGCTTGATCGATTAAATGCACCATCCTCTCAGATGGATGCTAATGAAGTGGCAGATTAACTAAGCAGCACAAATGGCTCTTAAATGGACTTGATTTGGCTTTTGGATGGGGACTTAACGCCCACCTCAGAGCAGAAATTTCTTGCCATGGTTGCTATAGTTTCTAAATATAGTCTCTTCAAGCCCAGGGGACTATTTTTATCAAATTTGCTTCTTGGGGGGGGGGCAAGCATTCTCTTAGGAGAACTGGAAATCTGAGGATTGAGTTAACATGCCTGTGGCGAAATAATTGAATTGGAACTAAAACAATGGAAACATATTTTCAACTCACTTGAATTGAAACGATTGATTGATTATGTGACCTCAAGTTGTTTTTTTTATTCCTACCACTTAGATTTTCTCCATGATGATCTATCCCTAATTTGTTTGTTCAAGTCTCCCAACAGTGCAGTCCCAATGCCCCTGCAGCTGTCCATCCATCTTGCTGCTAGTTGTCCTCTTCTTCTCTTTCCTTCCTGCTTTCCCAGTATTAGAGCCTTTTCTCTAAAGACTTTGTGTAAAATATTAGAAGTGGGATAATTTGACTCTGGTCATTTGTGCCTCGAGTGATAATTCTGCATTGATTTGTTTGATGTTCTATTGAATTGCAAGGAATACATAAAAATATGTACACTGAGTCAGTTTTAAAAGGTACGATATCATGAAGGATTCCATTGTGGTGTTACAACCATTGACATTATCATAACAATGAGTTTGATACCCTTCATCCTCCATTACCTGGCTGAAATAGATATTTATACAGAAACATCACACCTACGATGCATGCACTTCTGTCATCTTTCTTTTCAATTTCCTATCCTAACACTGATATAAGAGCTCAAAAAGGAAAATCAGACACAAGGTAAGCACCTACAGAGAGAAATTGGAATCTGTGAATGCCCAATGGACCACTCAAATTAGTTACAAGGAAAGAACCCATTCTACTTTACACATATGACTAAGTAGTGTTTACTGGAAATAAAACTACTGGAATACAAAGGAAAGCACCACTTGGAGAAAACAATGTGTCATCTTGGGCTCAAACATTCAAGCAGTAACTGGATGAATGAAGATGGCTGAACATCCCCCCCCCTCCCAAGCAAAGGCTGCAAAGCAGCATCTCTTGAAGGCAAAGAACTTCCTTGTGGAAGGATTCCACAGCATTTTTAAGAAAGTGACTTTTCAGGAAAACCTGCATTACAGTAGCTATCATTTGAGTCTTGAATATGGAAAACGCTTTGTTTCATATAATCCATCCTCTTGGCTAAGAATATTAATCTTTGAACTTTGATACTAGCCAGGATGTCAGGTTTCATGCCATCACTTCTCAACATTTTGGCTAAGAGAAGTTGTTTGGAGGAGTAAGTTTCCTAACTGTCTCAGCACCTTGGGACAACCAGGATATTTAAGGCTGGCCCTTAATTAATTAGGAAACATAATCAGCAGGACCAGTAGAAAGTCATATATAGCAGGGCTTCTCAAACTCGTATACCCCAATTCACAAAATGATAAAATGAATTTGTATGATCCCTTCCCCCCATTAATTTCATTGGGATTATGGTTGGGCGATAAATATTGTACCTTTTTAATAATTAAAATTGAATTCATGTATCAAATCAAGCCATGATAGAATTTTACATTTATACTCAAAATGAAAAGCTAAAATGTTTAGTGAGAAGGATTTTTTTTTAGTTTTGTGCAATTCCTAAAATCTGGGTTTCATTTTAAAGACAGCTGTTTTCATTCTAAAGTTGGGAGTGGGAAGCGGGGAGAAAAGCAAGTCTAAAGTGCTGCGGTTTACAAAACGCTGGCGGTCTGTCAGTTGCTTTTTGGCATTGGCATTCTCCCTGCACTGCCCCTTGACAGAATAATCACAGCACATATTCTTTCACTTCATTTCCCCCCCTTCCCTTTTTTGTAACTCTCAGCAGGTGAGGTGGCATTAGATGCTTTGCCTGGAAGCTTTGTGCCCTACAGGCATGATTGCTCCTCCATTGAAAGGGAAAGGCAGTTTGTTAAAGCAAAAAGGACATTATTTAAGGCTCTGGAACTTTCAGGATATTTTTGCATCAGACCGGAAAGCCTACTCAGAAAGACAAGGAAACATTCCAGACAACACTCTATTATTTCATAACCCCATTAAGGATTGTGACCCACACTTTGATTAATGCTAGGAATGGCTGGGTTTAGTGAAGGCATTTACTAGTGACTCCGCATGGAACAAAATATAGAGTTTCTTTGATAGTAGAAGAGCGGCTACTTTCCCTGATACAACAGCAATTGTGGATTTCTCCATCCACTTAAGATGCATCATTGTGAGAATAAAGAATGGATAGCCACAGTCCAGACGGTTGGGTTCCATCTGCTATTGCAAGGAACGGTATAGTTTTGGAGATGTGCTCAATTTTGGAATGGAAAACGAGCTTTTAATGCAGGTGAGAAAATGTTGCAGAAGTTTGTGATGCTTCCTTTGTCCACAGCATATACTGGAGTGAGTATAGAACTGGAGCTACAGAATCCCTGAAACTACAAAGATATCAATCTCCTGCAACTGATCAAACCAGGAGGCAGCTTATCATTTAATTCCTTATTTCTGGGTTGAAGTTCCACCCTTCCACCCTTGAGTCAGCAGAAAACTGTTAGTGTGTCCTCTATCCCTATCTCTATTGCCTTGAATTCAGTCATCTAACTTTATTTACTCCCAGGTGACAAAGCGTATCAGATAAAGACTGCACTTGGGCTGCGTCAGAAAGAGAGAAGCTATTTTCACACGTATACATCTAAGGATGACTTAGGTCTGTCTTGCTCATGGACTGTGGTTGATATGAAGGCCATATCACGGGGCACAGGAGAAAAAAAATGCCATCAGGGTTTATTAGCTACAATCAGATCTAAGTGAAGAAAAGCCAGAAACTGAGTAAAAAGGCAGGATGGGGAATTGGAGGCTGCCTTATACAATTAATGTCTTTAAGATGTGTATAAAATGAATTGGGTTAGTATTCTCTTTGACCTATTAATGGCTGAATAGTTTCATCCAGGGAAGATAATGAGCACTTTAATGTAGACTTATAAATACAGATTTATAGATCAGTTAGAGAAACCTCATAGATCAGTAGAAACACAGCTGGAATACTGCTGAATTTTATTAGCTTGAATATCAGTCTGTTTGTTCCCAGAAGGGCTTGCTAGAACTAATGTAAGTCCTGCTCGACTTGATTAGAATTTTGCTGTTTCTTTAGGGCAAACTTTACAATCCTGTGTTGTTTCACAACACATGGAGCTTACAATTGAAATGTTTGTTTTTTTTAAACAGATGCATCCAACACTGAGCTAGATAAGTAGGACCTTTATAATATATATAGTTCCAATGTATTGATCAATCAGTCTATGATTGAATAATTGAATGGGAAATTCAAGCTTCTTTAGTCACTAGACATTGATAAATGTCATTTTGAGGCAAAAAGATAACTTCCTACAAAAAAGGAATTGTCCAACATTAACTCCAGACAGCTTTTAGATTAAAGCTTTCAATCAATCTGTCATCTTCACTTCCAAAATAGATTAACGCATTTTGGTATTATTTCACTGGAGAATCATTAGGATAAAGCAGACTTAATTTAATTTCTGTACACATTTAGTCAAGAGCCAGTTTGATATAGTGGTTAAGGCATCAGGTTATAAACTGGAAGACTGAATTCTAGTCCTGCCTTAGGCACAAAGCCAACTATGTGTCGTTCAGCAAGTTCTTCTTTCTCAGCCCTAGCAGGTAATGGCAAACCAACTCTGAAATCTTACCAAGAAAATTTCAGGGACTTTTCCAGGCAGTCATCAGGAGTCAACACGGACTTGAAGGCAGCAGGAAAAATATACACACACACAGAGATTTACAATAATGGGAATTTCAGAAAAAGACATACATTTCTGTATCAGAATTCAATAGCCAACTATAAAGCTATAATCAGGGATGTTCAAAAAAAATCTACATATTCTTCTGATTCTCCCCTTTACTGTCAGGGAAACAAGTCGTTTTGCATCTTTTAAAGATAATGACCAATAAATTATCCAAAGAATGATTTAAGTATTGAAACAAAAAATGTATGTACTGTAATCTTAAAAGTTGGTCATATTCAAAGACAACATTACATTGGCTAATATGGTTATCTCCAACTTTAGTAAAATTCAGAATAGAATTGGAAGATTGTATTTTGATACTGCCTAACCATGTGTTCAGGGCAGGGATGGCAATCAAAGTATTGCTGAGTTTGGAGTGACCTTGTACTTCCTATTTGAATATATCCAATGAGGGCATTCCCCACTTGATAAATGCCAAAGTTCTCTTAATATTAAGGGGGGGGGAGTTTTTTCCCCTTTCTGTTCAATTACAATCTGCCTTCTTATAATTTGAAATGATTTATAGAGCATCTTGCACTTTGGAATGATGGAGACCCTGTCTTGTCCTTTTCATTCAGGTACAGTATTTCTTCAGGTACAAGAATATTGATATCTCCCTGCCCTTTTCTTTTTCAAAGCTAAGCATTCCTAATTCCTAAATCTTTGTAATAAGACTTGGTTTCTAATCCCCTGCTAATTCTTATTTCCCTTTCTGAATCTGTTTATCTAAATCTTTTTAAAACTGTGGTACCTAGAACTATATGCTGTAGTCAATATGGGGACCAGTGAATGCAAAATTATACGCAAGCCACATTGTAAACTAAGTTTGAATAAGCAGCTCATTCTCATACAAATTAAAATATTTCCTTGGAGGCCAATTATCTTCTAGAGACAAATTTGTTTTAAATTTGGCCATTTCTAAATTGGTTGACAATTTGACAATTTTTCCCCATTGTTGAAATGTGAATAATGCACATTTGATTAAGATATCTAATGTACTCGATGACATTTACATGTTGCTGGACTACATTGTTTAACAATCCCAAAAAGCATGATTGATGGTGAAGGGTGCAGGGCACCATAGTTCAGCAACATCTGGAGGCCATAGCTTTCTTGCGCCTAGAAAAATTTGCTGTAGCAGATATAAGGCAATGATTATGCCATTGGACCCAGATCCAAGTCACAATTTTAGGAAAATCATTATTTCAGTGGGTGCAGAGCAAACCTGAATCTAACTCACTGGATAGATAAAATAAAAAGCAACTTTTAAATCAAAACGATGACAAATTCAGGTCTGTGAAGTTTAGGCTCATTGTATCCCCGTGAACTGAATATTACCTATCTCACAGACAAAGGCCAGCAGCACTTCTTGTAGAATCACTCTGATCTGTAGAGTGAGCTTTAGAGGCAATACAATTCAGAAGTTATTCACACAGATTTATTCTAATAATATATTTCTTAATTGATGCAAGTTTTTATTTTCCCATCCCATTGCATTTCGGCAAATGGAAAATTTCAATTCAGGAGTAATTACAACCTTATTCTTTTATTATTGTGATTTACTTTATAAATTAATTCAATGCTTAGCATTTACAAGATCATGTGATTTCAGTATTTTTTGTAAAGGTTATTTTATATACTTCTTCATAGACTTTATTAAAGTACTTTTTAATCTATTTTCCTGTGACTTTTCTTTTGATGCCTTCTCAGCCATGTACCATCAGTAGAAATTACATACATGTGTATCTATATTCACTTAATAGGCTCCACCTACCGTAGATGTGCACATAGAAACAAGATACAGTATATATCTACAATTGATGTTACAAAGTCTAAATGCTGACGTATAATTTCTATTACATGTGAACCAGATTTGGTTATAACCAAGGTGGTTTGCATGATATGCCTGTAAATTTCCCTCATTGTAACAAAAAAGGTTTATATGGACAATTCTAGTTTTCCTTTCCTGATGTCATGTATCCTTTTCTTCCTGCATCCCTTTCCTAAATTACTTGTTGATTTTTTGCAAGTATATAAATTTAGTAACTGGAATAAAATTTTGCATCAACTGCATTTGAAAAATATGCTGAACAAATACATCTAATCACATACTGATTATAAATTACAATGAAGCAACTTTTAGTACATTTTCAAATTCAGAAAACCACAACAAGAAATAGCAAAACTACATTTATTGAAAATGAATTTTAAACATTTCAGAATGCAAAGATTGTTCCATATAGAATTGGTCTCTAAATAAAACCAACAAATCACATACAAAGTGTACTAAATTGTACATTGCATTTCGGAACAGCCATATGCAGATACAAAATAATTGTCATCTACCAAAATAAGGCAGAACCCAGGCACAGCGGTTAATCAGTACCTAAGTGTAGTATAACCTGCTAGGAATCATACACAACCAGCAGTGTGTTGCTTATATTTAGCTTAGCTAGGATTTTTATTTTTTGCCATACCCCAGCAGGCCAAAATCCAAAACTTTTGCAGTTTTGGGGGTATGTGGGAGATACATCAGTGATTACTTAATAATTCAGCTCAGCAAAATATAGCAACTTGCATTTACTAGTATGCTTGGCCAATTAGATCTAAAATTGCTTTAGAACAAGGAAGTGTCATCCTAGAAAAGTGACTTTCAAAAAGTACTATGAGCTTGTGCAAGATGTCAAGAGTCAGCAATATGAAAGTGGCAGCCTATGGGAATTGTGTACTTCGGTGCAGCCAAATTATGGTTATGAGTTCCCAATAACATTGACAATAAAGGCAATTAAGGTTTAACAGGGTTCCCTTTAAGTTCGAACTTAATACTTTTATGAACTTTTACTTAGCTGTGACTTTTAATTCACTTTGAGATCAATACCAACATAGCTGGAGTTAAGATGAGAAGGAATAAGGAGTCAAGTTCATATGGACCACTCACTAAAATGGGTTAGGTGCCAACATTATGCATTAAAATACATGACCCATTTTGTGAGAACCTTTAGTGTTCCCAAACCACTGGAATCCAAATTCTAATGCTTCCATGCAAGGGGAAATGGTAGGGTTTTTTAAAAAATGAAATAGATTTAATTTTCATAAGATTGTTAATATACTATCCTTGTTTGTGAGTGTCCTTAATTTAGCCACAGTCATAATGGCAAACAAGCACACTACAGAGTATCAGGATAGTCTACTGAGATCTTGGCCACTGTCCAGTTGCAGAACTCCAAGTTAGTCTTTTGCTTATAGCAATATGCTTTATTCAACTTCACTAAAATTTAAAAAAAAATCCCTCTAGATATTTTCTAATTACAAAAGACAAGTAGAATTACACCTTGTACTGTAAATTCAATTTACCGACATGCATACTATCCTTGCATTCATAATCTATCACACTGTGGCATAATGTCATAATGAAAAAGAAATACATTACTGTGATGGAGATAGAATGTAACACAATGTTCTTCCCTTTGAAAAATTATTGGCTGGTCAACTCTCTTAAGCTATCTGGTTACCCTGAGAGTTTTCTACAGCTTTTTTTTATTTAAGGCTTATTAAGCACCAGTTATATATGCTACATGTTTTCAATATTTAGCAAGCACCAGAATTTAACTTCAAATCCATCATTATCTACAAGTAAGCAAAACCCTAGCCTCATTATGGATGAGACACGTCCAAACATGGTAATTGTAAAACTAGGCACATAGATACTTAAAAGCAGAAGCAAGTCTTGCTTCCCTTTAGGCTTCTCCAAGTTAAATGCAAATATTTCATCTGCTTCTTCCTCATTGACGTTTCTGTGTATATTCACATCTAGAAAGCTACTTGGAGTAGCAGGGTTTCTCAGACTCTTGGGAGATAGAAAGCAAAACTTGTGGCATTGAAAATAAGGATGAGGAGAGTTTACATTACTGCTTTATATGGTAGAAAGGCACATGGCACGTTCTCAGAGAACGTGTATGTCACTATGGCATGTATGTAGCTACATTAAAAAAAAAAGTTTTTGTTTTTAAAAGTCCAGTGGGTAAGAACAGATGAAACAGAATGAAACAATTTATGGTCAATGTGAATGGTTGAAGCAGTGTTCATTGTGATATTATTGCAAGCTGCTTCAGATCTTTCAAAAAGAACAAAGGCTTTTGAATAATCCTCCTGAACCGGAACTGACATATCCTTCCTGAATTTGATCTATTTGAGCAAAATACTTTAGCTGCTCTTTGCCTATTAATATGTAAGAAAAGAGCCAGAATATATTAAAGCTTCATAGTTTTATTCAATTATTTTATTAAAAAATTTAATGGACCTAAAAGTATTCTGCGATATAATTTTCAGGTCAATCCTCTGATTTTTCTTTTTTGTTTGTTTGTTTCCAAATGCATTCTTTATAATCATTGTGCCGTGACTGAGAATAAAACATCCTATGTACTTAAAAATTAAATCAGAGGCACAGATCAGTAAATGAGAATAGTAAATGATACATTGTGTAGAGACTAGGGATTTGTGTGGATAACCTGAATATCATAATAGTGTCAAAGAGTCCAGTGTATGCAACCACAATAACCAAATAGAAACTTCAATTAAACGATATCAATTCATGTAATTTGCATTACAAAACTATAGAAGCTCTCCACTCAGTGGCACCAAACATTTTAAAAATAAAATTCCAAATTCTGAAATCTTAGAATCATTCTCTTTTTATCACAATTTATTGTTTTTGATATGTAAAAGATCTGAAAGTATGGAGGGAAGGATGACATATTGTTTCCTATTTCCTTACAGTATTGCCTACAAAGTGTTAATATTGTTACTAGTGATCTGCTTTTTTTAACCAAATAGAAAAAATGCTCTTTAAACAGGTTTTACTAGAAATTGCCCCCACATTGCTCATAACATTGCTTATAGAATACATAATGTTATACATACCAGAAATTTATTAAAAGGCATAATACTTCCAGATGACTACTTTAGTACCAGCAGTAAAGTGCAGCAAGTTTTGAAGCCATTATTGGACCGAAAAGATGCTATCAAAAAACACACGAATAGCCCTATATTTAAGGCGAGAGAGATTTTGCCATCCTATGGGATAAACTACTCAGAATCAGCTCTCTCACCATAGTAATTACTGCTCTGCTTCTTCTGTAATGCCTTAGCCCTTAGAATTGAGCTGTATTTTCAGACAGCACTTGTAAGACAGAACATGTCATATTCGTAATTAAAAACCTGCTCTTTCCTTTGTTGATGAAGTAACAGTCTTTAAAAAGTTACCTAAAGCCCAAAGATTAATTAATAAAATCTGCAAATGCATCTGTAAGTGCGATTTGTGGAATTTCCCCATTCCATCACTTGTAATGTAAACAGAGCATAAGATGTTATTTTGCACTCTTCAAACATTCACAGCCCCGGGGTAAAAGTTTTGAGACAAAAGTAAACCATGTAGCAAAGAGCTGTTATTTTCCTGATTTCATGTAGGATGGTATTGCCCCTCTAGCAGTCAGGCCTTCAAACCGCTTGTATGTATAATTGATAAAGACCCAGTCTTTGTTCTTGTAGTCTGTTTCTGGATGGTTACCTGTGGTCACTGATGAAAAACAAAATTCAGAAGGAATATTAGACCATTTAATACAGGACAGAAATTTGTTGCGAATGTTAGAGAGTTGCAAGATGGAAGAATATTGTCATTCAACTTGAGTGTGTATTGTTGGAGTAGAAAGAAAGAAAAGAAAAGAAAAGAAAGAAAAGAAAGAAAGGAAAGAAAGAAAGAAAGAAAGAAAGAAAGAAAGAAAGAAAGAAAGAAAGAAAGAAAGAAAGAAAGAAAGAGCCATTAAAGAGCATGACATCAACCCTACCACAGAAGGAGGAGGCAAATTAGATTGGTTTCTAAACTCAGAGAACTAGTTTCTCAAATAATTTTTCAACCATTTAATCATGTATGAAATTAAAAGGGATTCATGACAATGCATTTTATACCAAAAATATGAAAAGGGGGGAAAAAAACGTTTAAGATCACAAAGATGCCAACTGCTTTATATCATTCTTACCCTACAGCCCTGGCCAGCCTTCTTTTAGATGTGATCTTAAAACTGGACTGTAGCAAACTCTAAACTTTGGGGTTCTTTTTTTTTTTTAAAGCTCCCAGTTCTGGGATTTATCTACTGTATCCAGGCACTAATAAGGATTATCTCAGCTTAGCTTCTGAGATAAGTCAAGGCCAGCTAAGGCAAAATTAACAGCAGGGATATGCAAAACGTACCATTCTAGAAAACCCTACAACATTCTGATTTTCTTTCTGATAATGTCATTCTGGACATTTCAGAACTGGTCTGCTAATTTTCTGGAAATAAAACTTCTATAATGAGAAATAGTTTATTACGAAGCTAGTGTTTTGCCAAAAGAAAAACGGAACATTTTAATGTTCCCAGAATCCTCTGTGTCTGGAGGAGAAACTTTTGCATACAACTTAAGAATAGATATGACATCCCCAAAGTAGAGACTCTCTACCACAGATCCACCCTGATCCTAAGTGATTTTTTTTCTTTGAAAAGGCTATTTCTTGAGAGAATCAGTGAAAGCTAAGAATAAAATAAAATAAAATAAAACAAAAAGATTAATAATATACCTGCAGATTTAAGGATATCAGATTCCGGAAATTCATCAAAGTTTGATGTGTCATCAATACTTTTGATTTCTATGGAAATTGCCGCGGGTCTCTCCCTGTGAAAGAGAATCAGTGTTAAATAACTGGTCTTGCAAGGGAAAATAATATGTTCAACACCAAATTTACCTCACAAGTGCTTTTGAAACTCAATCTGGACCACGCTCACAGCTATTGCAGCCTTTCCCTACTGTGTGATTTGGTTAGAAAACTGAACAAAAGCTGAGAAGAAAATACTGCACCTGATATGCTCCCAGTCAACCCCTTCAAAAAAGGGATTTGTTTTAATTTCTTCAACACCTGGGGCACCGATTCGATGTTCCCATTCACAGCAAAATCTGAAGACAAAAGACACCATGGAGGATTCAGAAGTAGGTAAATATGAACTACTAACTAGAAAGAAAGTATCTGCAGTAGACAAATATATTCATTCCAAGACAGCACAACCGCTTCTTAAGGCAAGCCTTAATAATCTAAAAAAAAAAAAAATAGAGTGTAAGTGCTGATCCAATACTGGAGGTTTTTAAGAAGAGATTGGACAACCATTTGTCTGAAATGGTATAGGAGGGCTTCCTGCCTGAGCAGGGGGTTGGACTAGATGATCTCCAAGGTCACTTCCAACTCTGTTATTCTGTGACTACTGCTATAAACAAACTGGAAAAAAGTGCAGGGCCTTACAACTTTCCAGGGAACTAGAGAACATACTGAAAAAATACTGTTTTTGATGTAGCAAAATGCTAAATTAATGAAATCAACATACTAATGAAATACTGTTTTTGTATGAAAAACACTGTTTTTCCACAAGCCTTGGATGTCTTATAAGAACTTTTCTGTTGGACTTTCAGATACATAACTTTCAATTTCTAGAAAGTAAAACATACAGGAAGACGATCCCTCCCCACTTTCTACAATGTGATCAGGATAAATATTTTCTCATTGTAATATTGGCTTTTCAAGAAAATAGGAAACAATTTAAGCCCCCACTGGATGGTGAAGGTGGACTTGGCCCAGCACAGTTCTATGCTAAAGTATTAAGAGCTCTAGTATTCTACTTCTTAATAATCAGTCACATATTTAAGGGAATCCCACAGTAGAGACACAAGTGCAATAGCATCCACCCACTCATGTTCCTGAGTAATAGTATTCAGATTCAGACCACCTCCTGGACCAAACATTACATATAATCATGATTGCAGTAGCCATGTTAGCTATACATTCCATTAATTTATTCATGAAATGTTAGTTAAATAAGTACAACCAAACCTATGCACCATTTGGAACAAACTTAAATACAAAAGAAAATAGTCAAAAAACAAAGAAAAGGCAAGATACCATTTTAAAAAGCTATTTAGCTCTCTTGAATATAGTATATTCAGTTTATGCAGAATATGGACCAAGCCTGACAAATCTCTTGTTTGTTTGTGTGTTTGTTTGAAGGAAACAAACATGTTTCATGATCTGGAATACACCCAACACTCTCCAGTTTGTTTGTAACACTAAGTATAGGGAAAGCGCTGGGTGAACCAGATTTGGGGGGGGGGGCTGAAAGCACTGGCTGAGAGAAAGGAGGGAATGGTGAACCTGGGAAGATAAGAAGGCAGATGGGCCAACGAATTACTGTTGGAAGCAAGGTAGAGGACAATGTGCACCAACCTTGCTAGTTTTGCTCTCCAATCCAGATTTTGTTCTTCTGAAAATCAACCTAAATATTTTGAATTCTATTTCTGCCAAATCATGGCTTACCCAACAGTTCAGGAAAATGTCTAGAACATGATGGTTTGTTCCTATCTCAAAACAGAACTATTTTTTCATTTCTTGAACATCTCTACTTATATTCTTGAATATCAGTTGGATAGTTTATAAAAACACAATTTTATAATTTCAGAAAATGACAAGCTAAATCATTGAAGACTGAATATTAAAGGTTGTGCAATGAAAACCAAAATATCAGTTTCATCACTCTCAAAGACTTCAAGGTTAGCAATTATAGATTTAGGTACCTTAAAATGAGATCTTTGGCTCTCTCAGAAATAGGAACTTCTGGGGGGAATATTAAAGTCTCTTTCCAATTCATTACTTTCTTGTAAGTTTCTTGAGGAGTCTCTGAACAGAAAGGAGGGTAACCTGAGAAAAATATTATAAAAGTTAGATCAGGGATTAATGAAGCCTATACTGGTTATCAATTCCTATCTGTTTACATTTCATTTCAAAGTTAAACATTACAACTTCAAATAAAAATCAAGATAATGTTATACCTCAAGTCATATTCTATTTAGAAATTAAGAAACAGATTAAGATCTGTGACCATATTATAGCTCTAATTTGGATCTACTATGTTATCCCTTACCAATTAGCATCTCATACATTATGACTCCAAGTGACCACCAGTCACAAAGCTTATTGTATCCTGTCTGCATGAAGACCTCTGGAGCAATATAATCTGGAGTTCCCACGGTGGAGAAAGCCTGAAATGAAACGGTATCTATTCAATGATTTTAGAAATATTCCATCTGTGAACAAAGGACTGGAGTAGCCAAAGAAAATTATGCAAGACATACTGCTTTTGTAATAATTCCCTGAAACAATCTTGGGATGTGAAACCTGGAGATGGGGTAGTCTGAATGGTATTTTCTAAGTCAATATTTAACACAAATGTTATACTTCTGGTGAGCAGTTTACTTCAGACTGAATTATTTATTAATGCAAATATTATAAGATATCATTTCTATTTGCTAAGTCAGTTTGGCTAACAGTCGCAATATTTAATATCAAGTCTTCTGTCAACAAGTGTTAAGATTGTGCCGTTGTTTGGATTCTATCCTCCAAAGCTTTTGCCAAATACATATACCTGGCGTCTGTCTGCAATGCCTTAAAGCAGCTGTTTCTTTCTCCAAGATTTCATAATCCTGAGAAAAGATAATTTGCTTCACAGCACTAAAAATCGATGATACAGTTTCATTTGTGCATGGTCTGTCAGATCTTTCAAAAATCACATCTGAAGCACTGCTCAACCTGAATATCTGTGACACAGGAAAAGTATGATTTACCAATGGAGGAAATCTAATATGCTGCTAGACCATGTCCTCTTATCAATATCAACCTGATATTATAATGCAGGTTATTTTACTCCATCTTCCAATGGCCTCAAGGGGTTTGTAGGATCTTATAGACTAGTCACAACACTGCTCTTATGTGAATTCAGGCATTGTACCATCTACATATGTAAAAGGTTCCCCTACACAAGAGGAATACAGTTTGGATGAAAGTCCCTCCTTGCCTTGAGCAGTAGCAATGCTTACCACCTGTACTCTTCCTGTACAGAGCATCCTTATCTAACATGCGCTAACAGAACAAAGAAATATTAATTACAAGAACCCCTCCCAGAAAAGGGTATCTCCTGCACCTGTTTTGCTGAGACCCCAGTTCCACTCATTTTTCACTTCCCTTCGCAACTATTTCCATTTGCTTTAAGAACTAGAACCCAAGTTTGTTTTTCTTCCCTTATCTTTTTTGTTTTGTTTGTTTGTTTTGGTGTTATTTATGATCACATACTTATTTGCAAGGACTGTCCTGTTTGTAACTAATCTTATGTGAGCCACTAAAGGAATTTATTTCTTTCTTGGTTGAACAGCAGAGTTCAATACAAGATACATTATCCAGAGAGCGCTACCTACCAATTGTCTTCTGTTTCTTTTCCAAGTTTCTGCTTTTCTTTTGGAATTCATATTCTGAAAAGCTGAAGATAAATAACCAAAGATAAATGACACTGGTATTTTCCATGTGAAATTGTTTTAATCTAACGATACGCTGAAGAGAAGAAATATTTATAAAATGATTAATGTCTTTTTACATATTTGCTCTCAATTCTAATGGCCCACATTCTCTCCCCTCCCCTTCCCAAAAAATGCAATGAAAAGAATAAACTGGTGGAAGAGGAAAGTGGCTGTATTTGTATGAATTTCACCAATAAATATTTCTAAAATATATATTTAATCAAACATGTATTTAATTTTTCATCTAACTGAAGACCATACGTTCTAGACAGCTGCACTTAGCTTGTCTTTAAAGAGGCATGGACTTGCTTAGTAGATGGATGGGAAACCACCAGAAATAACAGGGTTGAAGAATAGACTGGGAAGTAAAACTAATCCTATAAGAAGGCCGGGCAAACCACTTTCATGTTATTGCCAGAAAATGTGGCAAAATTCATGATGCTACCAGGAGTTGAGCTGTTAGGAAGTTTCTCCTTAATTCCAGGTTGCTTCTCTCTTTGGTCAGTTTCCAACCATTGTTTCTTGTCCTGCCCTCTGGTGCTTTGGAGAATAGTTTGATGCCCTCTTCTTTGTGGCAGCCCCTCAAATACTGGAATATGGCTATCATGTCACCTGTTTCTTCTTTTCTTTAGACTAGCCAAACCCAAGTCCTGCAGCCGTTCTTCATATGTTTTAGTCTCCATGCCTCTGATCGTTTTAGTTGTTCTTCTCTGAACTTTTTTTTTCAAAGTCTCAACATCTTTTTTGTAGTATGGTGACCAAAATTGGTTGCAGTATTCCAGGTGTTGTCGTATTAGGGTTTTATAAAGTGGTACTAATACTTTGTGTGATCTTGATTCTATACCTGTTTATATAATCCAGGATTGTATTAGCTTTTTGGCTGCTGCTGCACATTGCTGGCTCATAGTCAAGTGATCGTCAACTAGGACTCCAAGGTTCCTCTCACAGTTACTGTTTGTGAGCCAGGTCTCACCTAATCTGTACTTATACTTGATTTTTCCTGAATAAATGTAAAACTTTGCTTTTCTCCACATTAAAATTCATTTTGTTGGATAGTGCCCATTGTTCAAGTTTATCAAGATCTTTTGGGATCCCGAGCTTGTTTTCTGGGATGTTGGCTATTCCTGCCAGTTTAGTGTCATCTGCAAATTTGATGAGTTCCCCTCCTATTCCCTCATCTGAGGCATTTATGAATTTATTTTGATAACTGTTTTCATGACAGTCATAAAGCACGCCACCGTGTGGTTGCTAAGCAAAATCCATTCTCTCAAAGGGGCATTTTTTTGCCAGAAGCAGGCAAAACCATTGCAAATCTGGGCCACATGCCTGTGGGATGTTGCAACCAATCAAGTACCCAAAATGAGAGAGAGAGAGACACGGACAGATATACATAAGTTTGGGGATGGGTTGTAAGTTTAAACAGTCATTAAGTGACTGGTTATTAACCAAGGACTATCTGTATATCATGACAGGCAAGAGTGACAATGTGCCTGTTTATAAGAGTTTTATGAAGTAATGCCCAGGTTTGCTTGTTTTATTCTTTTCTAGTCAGTACCTTTTTTTTTTGCGTATATTGTGCCTGAACATAGCCCGCCTGAAAGTACACAGAGTTTTGTTTGTTACTTACTTTATATATAAGCTACTTTTCTGCTAAATAGCAAGATAGAAATCCTTTAAATTAAATGTATATGAGAGCCACCCACAAAGGAAACAAGCTCTTCTAAACATACAGACCACCAGGAAGACTCAGAGTTGATGAAAACAAAAAAATATTTGAGGGCACTAATTATTTGGGTGATTACAAGTTTGTTTGATATAAAAAGGCTTACTGAAATCACTTGGAAGATTATAGCTCAAATTCCTATAGAATTCTGTTCTATGTGCTTTCTTCAGTCCTGTGCAAAGACCAAAGTCTGACAGCTTCACATGGCCCTGAAAGTAAACAAGAATGCGAAAACAGGAGAATTAAGTAACAGCACACAATAGCATTCAAACACTAAATATTTAGCAAATATTACACATTTGGTTTTCTTTTTAGTTGAACTTTTGCGTTTTAAAATAAAATAAAAAAAGAAAGTTTCTGTATGCTACTCTTTGCATATTAATCTCACAATCAGATATGCAGAATCAGGTGGGTTCTTTAAATAAATTAGGAAAACAAAAGGTAATATAAGTAAGAACCCCAGGAATTCTTAATCAAATCAATAATATCATACAAGGATTCAATCACATCTGTATCATTCTGTGCTAGGCATCCATACTTTTCTTGTAACAGTGAACAGAAGAGTGAATTGTGCAATAGATGGAACACTTAAAAAAATAAAAAGGACAGCTCCATTAGATGCCTGCCAATTATTGTTCAGGGATCTTCCCTGAGAAAAACCATATATATTTTCATTTTCAGCAAAGCTAGAATGATCAGGTTTGCCCAGGCTGCAGAGTCCCTTTTAACTGGCTTCCACCTTATGCCATAATGACAGAATGCAAACATGCATGTTACATGTTCTATAAATGCAGATATTTACTTAAGATATTGTGGAAGTATGTTTAAAAAGTATTTTAAAACAATAGTTTGCTTTCAGTCAAAATCATTTAATTGTCATGAGTCCACTTCTACACATAATGCTGCTAAGAAGCAGCCCCATTTGAATATGTTCTTTCTTGAAGGCAAGCAAAAAGTATAAGGAAATGTCCTAAAGAAAGGCTATTAGCTAACAAAATTGCATATTTTCCTTATTTATTGTGCCCCCTGCACAATATTTCAAGTGCCATGACAATATTTCAACTAAGAGCTAAGTCACAGGTGCTAACAATAGACTTCTACTAGACAACCCATGACTCACTGAATCATCGTTTTAGAGATATTTCCTTACCTAAACAGAGAAACAGAATGACCATGGGCAGGCAAAAAAAAAAGTTAGAGGAGCAATTTCCAACTTCCTGCTGTTTCCCCATTGACTTTCCCTGTAGGAAGCTGGCAGGGAGCGTTGGAAACGTTGATCATGTGCCACAGCTGCAGTAGAATTGAAGTGGCCACAACATTGCCAAATGTCAACCCCATGGGACTAATGGGTCCCAGATTTTGGACCCATTCTTTAAGTTAGTCCATTTGAGATATATTAATTCAATAATTGTTGCTTTATGATGCACCATTTTGCTCAACTGAAGGTTACAAACAATCAAACAGACACGAGAGTTTTAGTAATATATAGAGTTCAAACCTAGAATAGTGATAGTTTTATTCTAGATAACGTTATTTAGAATTATTCTAAATAATTAAAAAATAATAAAGCCTAGCATTCTACTAAGAAATGCTAAAAAAAGCTAGCTAATAAACAGCACTCATACTTTACTGTCCAAGAGAAGATTATCTGGCTTGATATCACGGTGAATAAAACCCAGTTGATGAATTGAATCAATAGCTAACACAGTCTCTGCTATGTAAAATTGAGTCTCTTCTTCTGTAAGGGTATCTTTTTTCATTAATAACGTCATCATATCACCTGTATGCACAAAGGAAAAAAAAATAAGTTAATTCACACAGTATCAGCACAATATTTTATAAACACAATATCAGCATGTCATTTAACGGAGCCTACACTATGAAAGGTACTCTGTATTCTTTACAAAATCTTTATTCCTGTAAAACAATTTTCATCTACTCCTTTTTATTTGTATCTTGATTTTATTATTTTGAGAGGAGAGGAAGGGAGAGAGAGAGGGAGAGGGAGAGACTTTTGAATATACTCTTAATTCCCTCAGACCTATTTTTTTTCTTTTTAAAAGTTTCAGATTATTTTGTAGCTAAGAAAACTAGTAACTACAAGTTTAGCTATGACACTTAAAAGATAGATATTGAGCAATAAGCTGACAGGCTTTGATTACGCTCCCTTTTCACACAGCAAATATATAAAATAGAGCACAATCATTACTTCAATAAGCTGACAGGCTTTGATTATACTCCCTTCTCCCATAATAAATATATAAAATAGAGCACAATTATTACTTCGGTAGAAATGCCAGCACAAGCAGCAAGTTTTTGATAGACTAAACTTTCACATGCTACTTCATTTTACAAGCAAGTTTTCACCTATTAACAAGAACTAAATTCAGAATCAGACTGTATATCTCCAACAACTGATTCAAATAAACAGCTTATAAGTAAGCAATTCAAAAACAAACAATAATAAATAATTACCTCCAGGCAGAAATTCCATGATAAGGTAGAGGTTTAGCTTATCTTGAAAGCTATAAAACATTTTTACAACCCACAAACTATCTGCCTCCACTAGAATGTCTCGTTCTGCTCGAATATGACCAACCTGGAGATGGATATATAAATGAATGTTTAGCTGGAGGTACATTTTCAGACATTTGTAAAAGGCGTTCAGGCATTCTACCTCTATCATATTTTTTATGAATACCCAGTAGCATGACTGCCATTTAGGACATATAAGCCATCATGAAAATAACAAACCATGATCTAATACATATACTTTTCTGTACAATATACTCATTAAAGTCTTCAGTGACTAGATAGGAAGCATGTGGTCCTTCACATATTGCTGAGTTACAGCAAAAACAATTATCTACCATTGGCTATACTGAATGGGTTATTAAGAGAAATATATACAGGGCCACACTGCTTTATCATTAGTCTTTTTAACTTTTGAATCATAATTTCTGGCAAATGTTCTTTTCATTGTTAATTCAGTATTTATTTTGTTAATCACTTGCATTTCCACTGTGCAAAGGGTAGTTTATAAATTGCAAAATTAATATTAATGATGTAGCCAAAGAATATTTTAAATAACATGCAGTTGGAAAATTTATATTAGTAAGTCCTTTTGGGGGAGGGGAGATTTTCAAATTACATTTTAAAAGTGATCAGAATATCCTTCTAGCTGGGTCTCCTTCATGGGCAACATCTTCAGCAGATCCTTAGTAGATAAACAGAGCTCCAGGTTAAAGAATGATGAGTCATTATAGCTAGGGACCTGCCCACATAAAGGAAAGGCATTTATATGTTAGACACTTTTGAATTTGGTTTGGAACACAATGGGTAATTAGTGGAGCTGAGCTCTGATGTTATGTGCCTCCAGTGAGGGATACCCAACAGAAGCCTGGCTACTGCATTTGAGACCCACTGTAGTTTCCATTAAAGGCATATCTATTAAAAATCAAAAGCTGAAATAATTAGCCGGAAACACGTAGAAATAAACACGTAGAAATAAACTTAATTTGTTTTTAATCGGTCAATTTGCCTTCTAGTTACATGCTGAAATAACCACCATTCATTCAACTCTGGTTCCTAACATATCCTTTGTTCAATATTCACAATTACAATGCCATTCAGAACAATTTCTTTAGGCTTTCTGCAAATGTTTATTTCAATGACAGTTACGTCCATGTCAATAGTTTTTGTAAAATGAATGTTAACAATTCAACAGTATTTAAATGAAGATGGAAAGGACACAAATTCAAAAGCTCATCTACAAGCATACTTTTTTTGCTAAAGTTCCAAAAATATCAGAATTATTATTCAGTCAACTTAGTGACTAAATTGACTGTTTTTGTTTCCTCAAGAAAAGTATTGTTTACCTTCCAGAAATTCCAGTTATTTTCAGAGTGGTAATTCAAGAATCCAATTACCAGTCTAAAGGCTTGATCAAAAAAACATGGTTTTTCCCCCCAAACGTCAATAGTAAGAATTAGGTGGCATAACCATTTGGAAACTACATTTACCTGCTCTTTTTCCAGCATGTCAGCTTTTCGTAGGATTTTCATTGCATATACATGCCCTGTATCTTTCTTCTGAACAAGCCGCACCTAGAAAGACACCAATTGTTTTTGTGTTAATATATTTCTGATATTTCAGGTTTTCTCTGCTAAGGTTAACAGTGACAGAAATTGACCTCTCTCTTTATAACTGCATATACATGAGGATCAGCGGGAAGAAATCTTGTGCCCTCCACATGTTTTCAGCTGCTATTCCCATAAGTCCCAATCAACACTTTCATGACCTGTAAGACTTGATGTCCAAAATATAATCTAGGACACTGGGTTACCTACTTCTGTTTCATTGCAGTAAAGATGAATGATAACATTTTCTGCTTCCTTATTAGTGTAACAAACAACTTCAACAGCCCCAGAAAAAAAAATGCTATCTAAATGAACACTAGCCAATATGGTGATATTATTTTAAATATTTATATATCACTTCTCAATGTAAAAATCCTGAAGCAGATTACAACATTTTAAAAAAACGATTATAACTTTAAAACAATTCCTTTAAAAACCCGTTATCCCTGCATTGCAGGGATATGTTCACACCATAGGACAGATGCAATCACAGAGGCGGCTTCAAAATCAACTCCAAAAAGTAATATTGGGGACATGATTACCAAGAGATAAGCAAAGATTTTGAATAATTTGTAACAGCATCATGATGAAACTTCAAACAAAACGAAAAGTGGCTACATTCACTCATTATGCTAAACCATAGCATGTTTTAATAAATCAACATAATGCAAAGTTATAAAACATGGTTTATAAATCACAATGACTAATGAATTCATTGGTCTAAGTTAAAACCAAACTGAAACATATGATATATGAATCCAATGCAAACAGTATGCTGGTTTCCCTAGTGGATAAATTAAAACTTTTAAACAGTTGAAAAAATGAAGTTAACTGATGTTAGCTGATTTTCAGATTAGCCAATAAAATACTGTCTTCTAATTAATCAAATATTCAAGTTTTTTTTTTTTTTTTAAAAAAAAATATAATTTAGGATGCAGAAATTAGAAGATTATTATGAAGGTCAACATGAAACTCCACATCATTTGGCAAAATATAATAATGTTAAAAATCAACTATTGCCTAGTTATTCATTTGTTTTAGAGGGCATACTGAATTATTGACATCTTTATTATAGTCATATAAAAAGGACTGGTAATCAGAACACATGCACTAAAAATAGACTACCCAAAACTGTGCATCTTTTTATGTAAATCAGCATGATTTCTGGACAAGAAATTACCATTGCCTTCTTCCAGGATATATTTTCAGCTTCTCAATCTAGCTTTTAGATCTGGTACAGACCCATCAAAGTACTAACCAGGAATGACCCTGTTTATTTTCCAAGGCCAGAGCACATTGAACAGGCTCTGCCATTTGCCAAAACTTCAAATCCTTAGTCCTTCTAACATTATTAGTCTCAAGATCATACCTCCCCAAACGCTCCTCTGCCTATTACTTTTAAAGACTCAAAATCCTCTAGTCCAAGTCTTGTTCTTTTCAGTCGCAGAAACTCTGTCTCCTTTCGGGCGTGTGCGGATCTTCTTATTCTTTTCTAATACATTTTCAAAGGAAGAAACAACAAAAATTAGAGTCTAGTCATTCACAGCGACAGCTTTGGTACATAATCACCAACAAGTTTTAGCACATGCAATAATACCTCTTCATCTTTTAAGCCTTCTTCTTCCATCACTTTTTCTAGCTTCTTTTGTCTAAAAAAAATTTAAAAATACCATGGATTAGGAAATTCCTCTTTGTCTAGATGCATACAATATCAATATTCAACAAAATCATTTCAAAAAACAAGAAACAATGTGGGGAATTTGAGTTTGTATTTTCACTACATTCCTTGATTAGATCTAAAACTGATTTAATTTCAGAATTAAATTAAAAATTAAATTCAGAATATGTTATTTGCCAATATCCTGCTTAGTATATGGGATTTGATCAATAACTTTAAGTCATTTATCTTTTTACAGTATTTGTAAAAGATCACACCAAAGTATGAAAAATGATGTGATTACAGCCAAAACAAGTTTTAGACATTATGCAACAATATAAATCAATCATTACTACTTTGAGCAATATAAATTTATGATAAAAAAAGTAATTGAGGTAATAGGGAAAATGTAGAGGCTTCATATCAAACCCTATCTAATATCTGATCCTCTGGGCACAAAACAATTTTACCATACTGCAGAGTAAATATGAAAAGCAGATATCCTATACTTCCACATTAATTCTCAATTTTTAAAAGTAAACATAAGTATGACAAAACAAAAGAGAAATAGCAATATAATTTTGAAAGACCTTTAAATTTCTCATATTATATTATTACCTTCCTTTTGATAAAAAGCAGGGTAGTTCTATCCTTACCATAAAAATGGTCTCAATATAATTGTAAACTATTTAAAAACTCAGTAAAATAAACACCGATTGGTGCAAAAAAGGGGAGGGGGACTTCTTCCATCATTTCCCAGTATATAGAGATTATAAAACAAAACAGCTGGTATAAAATTTTCATCTGGTACTGAAATTAGCCAACCTAATTTCCAGTGAAAATACATTCCAGAGCCAAAATGCCACCCCAGAAATGCATTGTTATAAATACCAAAAATCCTGGCTTCATTTGATAATAATATGAACACATTTGCACTGGCACTAGCGAACAATACAGATAAAGGTACTCATTTAAGTAATCAAAGTTATAGGTGTTAAAATTAATATTTTGAACTGAGATTGGTAATAAATTGGGATCCAGGTCTGTTCTTTAAGGGCTAAAATTATGTGGATCATGCCATAGTCATTTCACATCTGCATGCTGTGCTACAATATTTATAATATACAGTATTTTATCCCATTTAGTGCCCTTTAAAATGATCTAATTAGCAGGTTACAAAAGCAAAGTCTGCTGTCATCAGGCTATTTATATTGAGGATGGCCAGACCTAATAAACCAGACAAAAGAGGTAATAAGAGATTCTATTCTGCTGGTTACTAGCCTCCAATGACAATGTAGAGTGAATGAATACCTTCAGAGTGTGATTTTAACCAGAACAGTCTTACTTCCCTAATCTCTAGATCTAGGAAGAAATAATCCATAACACCACTCTCTTGTTGATTTTCAGCTTATTATCTTATTGATCTTATTGCCTTCAAACATCTGTACAGTTTCACCTGATCTTGATGGACAAGAGAAACAGAGCTAGGTGTCATCAGCATCATTGTACCTTATCTCTTTTCATCTGTTGATCCCATTCAGTGGTTTCATATAAATACTGAACTATATGGGAAAAAAGATAAATTTATGCGGGTTCCTTCAATATAACTACTAAAGGGCAGAAAATATTTTCAGAAACAGCTATGGAAATAAAAGCAGAGCCACTGTAATACAGTGCCTCCAGCTCTCCACAACTCTAGAAGGTCAAAAGCAATAAACAGAAAATTATAGCCCTCTCTGGCAAGTTAAACTAACAATCACTCTTATTTTTTATAATTAAAAGGTAGAACTGCTAAATATATTTGAATTTATTTCATACAATTTTGACTGGTCTTTAATTCACAACATACAAATAGCATGGCTGTATACTACAGAAGAAGACTGTCCAGCACTCTCTCTCTTTTGGGAAATGTTTTGCCCCATAACTGATCTTCTAACTGAAAAGATTAAAGTCCCCCTCCCCTTTAAGTGATCAGAGACCATCACAACCACATCTGTGATACCATATCTATCTGCAAAGACAAGGAACAGCCAACTCAAACAGCCAAATAATTCCAAAAGCCTATACAGTATGCAAAACTAATATGATCTAACATGGTCCAAAACTAGTAAAACCAGTAGAGGATCCTCACATTTTCTTCTCCTGTAGAAGGAGGCCTTTAGTAGAAACACAGCTTTGTAGTCTGTTCCATTATGTGCCCCAATGAAATTTCTTATCAAGGAAACACCTCACAGCAATAAGCAGCAAAAGGAAGGAAAGGGTGGGTAAACAGATAACTGTTGTTAAAGGGAAAGCTGTAATTATTTCAATTTCTGACTAGAATGAATGAACTAAACAGTTTTTCAGAAATATAGAATCTCCCTCAGGAATGAGTTATTTTCCAATCCAAAATTTATTAAAAAGAAGCTTGGAATTCTGCATAGTTTTATGTCCTTCCTGGCAACAGAACACTACATTGTGTTTCATTAAGCTATTCTTCAGAATCCCAAGATCTTTTTCCTGGTTATTTACTGGTGATGTAGATAGAACACCTCATGTATTCATAATCAAAGCCTGTCAGCTTATTGCTCAATTCATGTAAATTTAGGATCTTCTTTGTAAAGGACCATTTTGTACTTGTATATATTGAAAACTATTACACATATTAATGCCCACTCCCCATATCTAAGGAAAAAAAGATGGTAGCATCATGGAAATGGGTTTCCAAAGGCTTCAACGTTTACATTTTGCTTTAGATCTATCCTATGTACTATAATGTGCCCCATGTGAGCTGAAATGTTGTGGAAGGAAAGCCAATGTAAGCTGCAGCCTCCACTGTTGGTTGCATCATATTTCAGTCAGAATTAATTGGATGGATGTTACTCCGCCATCTACCATTAGGATTGGATTGTCTGATGATCAGCTTTAAAATTGTTTTTAGAATTGTGAAGACTCAACAGAATGGATTAATGGGAGAAAAAATATTTTTAAAACAATATATTCATAACTTGAGCTAGTCGGTTAAAGCACTCAGCTAGAAACTAGGAGATTATGAGTTCTAGTCCTGCCTTAGGCAAAATATCAGCTAGGTGACCTAAAGCCAATCATTTTGCTCTCAGCCCTAGGAAGACAAACTTCACAACGTGTATGTATGCAGATTGTTTTTTTTTATTTTTTCATTTACTTATTTAGTTTTTACATCACTCAGCTCAACCCGGTGACTCTTGAAAAGTGAAATTAGTAAAAGGTAATGAAAAATCCATTATCCTGATTTATTCACCTCATTAATAAACTTATTTGGGTGAATAATAAAGAATAAAACTGAATCTATATTAACTAAATTGAAAGTTAAGCATATCCATTGGCTTATAAATGTTTCCATTATTTAGGTATGCACTACCCTCCTTTTCAATTTAGGTTGTTACTTTTAGTCTCCTATTCAAAAAAGCTTATCCACTTTCCATATACTAATGGAGTGGAAGAGCATCTTAAATTTTTAATGCTGCATTCCAGGTAAATCTACAAAAGTTAGTTATTATTAGACTGCCTGATTGATGGCTACTTCATTCATTACTGCCTCCAAAACAGAAAAAGAAGAAGAGATAGAAAATACTGTATTGTTAAAGATTTCATTCACTGCAGACTATTAGCAATACAAGATGAATGCTACTTTTCATGTAAACTAGGTAACTTAATTTCAAGTTAAACTAAGTTGTTTGTATTGTTTACAGCTATACTTGCTTTTTAAAAGAGTCAACCTACCCAATTTGAACTGGGGGGGGGGGGGAAGGAAGGGAGGTACACACTCAAAAGTTATTACAAAAACAACTGAAAGATTCTTGTGGTTTAAGACATAGCTATAAAACTTTAATATTTCCATAATGGGAACACATTTATTAGGTTTCTATTCCAGCTTCCGTTGAAGATTTCAAGTTAATGTACACAATAAATTATCCACTTATTTTTCCCAACATATAGGTGGGATTAGGAGAAACTGGCCAGTCCAAAGTTATCCACTGAGCTTCAGCTGAATGTGAACTAGAATAAGATCTCCACTCCAATATCTTAACCACTGTACCACTTTTAAGCTCCAAGAGGAGAACTGAGTGAAAATAACCAGAACCTGTACCAGAATTCAGAACCTATAATTTTACGTTAAAATGTCATTCAAATATACTGAGCAACAATCTAGAAAGAGTATAGGAATTAGCAATATAACCTACAACCAATGAGAGTATTCAATTACTGTGTACATTATGTATAGCACACTCTGTATTCATGCAGAATGTCTTTCAAAAGCATTCATATTAGTCCAATGGGAATCTGAGCTCTGCCTCCAAAAGTTACTATATAAAAAAGATAGAAAATATTTTTAAAACATAGAACCTTAAGTTTCTATCAAGTTTTTTTTTATGTTAATCAAATTTACAAATGAATTCTAGAATCCAGTGTAATTTATAAATTCCCAGCCTCAATTCAAGAGGATTAATTAAATCAGAGTGTCTCTGAATAATCAGAAATAGTGCTTCGTGGTTTCTTTTCACCTGGGCTAAATTACCATTTATGAGATAAGCCAACAACAGGCTCATCCATTGCATCTTGATTACTACCGTATTACTCTTACACTCCCGCATAATCTGAAAATTTAGTCTATTATTTCTCCACTAATTAAAATCAAAAATCACATCTAATTTAAGTAGCTCAACACACATGTACCTTAAGAATTTCACCCTCACTAGGAACTCTACTTTATGGGCCTTCGTCCCAATCTTTAAAGATCCAATATCATGCTGCTGGGAACCCCAACCTCCAGGCGGTGGACTAATATGGGTCTGTGATCCACCAGAAACCGGGCCATGCAAGCAAGTGAAGCCCCATCCATGCATGCACAGGATCCAAGCAGTGTGGAAAACCACATCTCCTGGTCCACAAAAAAACTGCCTTCCATGGATCCAGTCCCTGGAGCTCAAAAGATTGCGGGCCGTTGTCATACTGACACCACAAGAAGCTTTTCATTGTCTATATTTACTTTCCCAACTACTATATTTAATATCGTGCTTTTCTACTGTACCTAGTGCTCTTTTAAAATTGTTTTATCTTGTTTAGTTTATGCCAGGGGTCCCCAACCCCCGGTCCGTGGACCAGTACCGGACCGCGGCATGCCATCAACTGGGCCGCACAAACAAGGAAAGCCCCATCCACAGGATGCAGGTAGCACACAAAACCACGCCCCCTCCGGTCCACGGAAAACCTCTCTCCATGGAGCTGGTCCCTGGTGCCCAAAAGGTTGGGGACCTCTGGTTTATGCAATAACTTCTAAACTGAAAATTGAGATATGTATTAAATACCGCAAATGAAATACAATATGTATATACTGGAATGCATTTACAAAAAAGTATTTTCTGACAGCTATCTAAAGAAATACACAAAACTGCTAAGGACCTTCTCGGAGCACAAAGAAATTTTTTAAATAAAAATATATGATTTAAAGGGAATGATTTGCAGGAAAAACAAAAAGTGTATTTAGAAAGCCTGGTTTTGATTATCATGCTCAATCAAGCCAAGCATATTCCGCAACACAAGTTATGTTTATACTGGACACCCTGAAATCAAAAGAAAGAAAGCATTAAGCTAGGGGAAGAAAAACAACTTTTAATTCAGGAAAAACTTTCCACTTATTTTCATAAAGTAGAGACTAGTAGGGTAATCAAGAAATATTTACTGTTAGGGCACTTTAAAGAAATGTTACAAAAACTGTTCATTATAATAAAAGATCAGTGCACTTGAGGCATTCAAGTTTTTAATCTTGCAATTAAGAAACTATCCCATATTCATATAACAAAGATTTTACCTCATTTCTCTTTCTTCATGCTGGGCAATCAGATTACTGTAGAAGTTTTCTAATGTCACTTTTGTCATTGTAACTCGCTCCTTAGTATGGTTACTCATAGATGAACAAGGTGCCGGACCCGTCATTGCCATAATTACTTGAGAAGGGAAGAAAAATAAGAAACAGATTTTGAAAGAAAGCTAGGTTCTTTACACACTGCATGTTTTAATTGAAGGAAATATTCATACTGACTACACAGAAATTCAATACAAAAACAAGTAGTAATCCAAACTGGAAGCACATTAGAAGACTATATTGTTACAAAATAATTTCACACTCTGGACTTCCTCTTTTTTTTTAACCGGAGTTATAAACAAGACAGAAAGAAGTGCAGTATTTAAGTCACTGAATAATGTTTGGCACCCTCATTCTTCCTTTAAAACAACATGTAAAAGATTATTTAAATTACTGGAAGTTAAAGATAGCAAAGGCAGCAGAATTGGTTGCAAAGCTGCCAATATTTATGACGCTTAAAGCAGTTTTAATGAAGTTCCTGTGCCTATTTTCATGCCGCCAACATAATTAGCCAATCTAGAACCACCTTCAGTACTCTTTACAAGAAATGATATGCAGTCGCTTAGAATGGTATCCCAAGTTGAAATTTCTCCTTAGCCCGACCCAAAAGAGTCTTCGAAGAGATGTTCAAAAAGATCACTAACATCTTTTTTTTTCTTGATTTCACATCCGAAAAAGTTTCCCGAACGATTGCAGCTGCTACTCAGCCATTGCTCATATACCATAGGAATCTTAAAAATCATCCCTGATCATTTAAATCCCCCCCCCCCAGATCAAAGGCTTTCCTTCAACCAAGCGCGCGTGTCAACCATACTTGGGAATATACCCTTACGAAATGAGTCGGGCACGCTTTTCCTCCTTAACAAAAAAGTTCCGCGGAAAGGAAACAAAAGACTGCAGGTGTGGACAAAGAAAGCAGAGGAGGAAGATGCCAGGTGCGCGACCCGCTAAAGATCGGCAGAGCAAGTCTAGAAAAGGGGGCGAGGAAGCAGAGCCACCCCCCCCCCACCTTTCCGCGGAATACGGCCACGCCACCAAAGAGGGAACGAGCTGAGCCCAGCACGATGGGCACCGGAGGAGAGGTCTTCGCCCGCCGGGCATAACTTTTCGAGGGAAGTAGAAAGGTGGACCCTGAAGACAGAGGAAGGACAAGGAGCCGCGGGGAGGAGAGTAACTTACCAGCGCCCTCTTCCAATGGGGCAGCCTGGGAATCGAAAGAAGCAGCCTCGCCGATGAATTCCCGCTCAGGCCCCGGACACGAGAGAGAGAGAAAGCCGCTCGGGAGGCCTAACCCCGCCTCCCCCTCGGAAGAAAGCCGGAGCCTGCGACGGGACAAGCGCCAGCTCAAAAGCCTGGCCTCATCCGCATGCGCAAAAGCTCTCCAGGTTCCGCCCTCTTTGGGAGGCGCGGCTGGCTGGCTGGCCAGGGTCTTCGCGGAGGCGGGGTCGTTTAGTTTGTTTAGAATTCAGTGTTTCTCAACCTCGACAATTTTAAGGCATGTGGACTTCAACTCCCAGAATTCCACAGCCAGCAATGCTGGCTGTGGAATTCTGGGAGTTGAAGTCCACATGCCTTAAAATTGTCGAGGTTGAGAAACACTGGTTTAGATGAGTGCAGAGGCGCGCGTGCGCTGGTTGTCTCTTCGGCTATTGCGAAGTTGTGATTAAATTCGTTTTTCGCCGTATAAAGACTTTTGGTGATTTCTTTTCTTGGGCAACGCGGGTTGTGCGTTTTACCACCAAGCGTATTCATACGGAAATATATTCCAGGGCAATACTTGCTCCCGAGTAAATATGAATATATTTCCAGTCTGCAGCTTTAGCAACGAAACTCAATAGTGATGTTAACTTGCAAATTAAGAGTGTGATTCCCAACTCTACACAGGATGGCGATGCTGAAAAGTTTTGGACATCTGTCTGTTCCTGGATGCAGTTACTCAAAATTGTACGTCGCTTACTGTAAGGAGACAGCTCTAGCCTCTACTAGCAATTCAGAAGTACTCTAAAAACCTGATCAAGTTAATGAATCTGAATGCAGAATACGGAACAGAAAGCAATTAGGTACTTATCATTGCTACAAGACATCCCCTCCCCTGACTTATTTTGTGGAAAGAAAGCAGAAGGTTGAAATGGTGGAAAAAGCATAAAAGGATGTCTGGTAAATGAAAGCTGGGCAATTTCACAAGAAAGCCTATCAAGAGATTTCCCCTGATACGCATTTGGTGAAAACTACCACAGTAAAAAAAGGTGAAACTTGAGGGAAATACAGAGAATTGTGTCCAGAGAAGAAGCCATGTTAACCTTTGAGTGTATCCACACATCTCCCTAATTCTGCATGACAGTCTTCCTTTCATCCCAGACAAGGCCAACCAGCTTCCTAAGTTTTAAGCTGAAGCTGAAGTGGCAAGTTTAATTGGGATAAGTACTTTAACTGCATGATTTGTGCCACTTCAAAGGCTTTCATGTTAATGTTATGGCCAGGAGATATGTAGAGGGTAAGGAAGATGGCCTTAAGGGATATATGCAGGCTCTGTTGTCTAGGCAAAGGGCCTGCTTATCTTCAATAACTCATCTTTATTCTCTATTGGGTGGGATCTGAGTAGCTGCTCTTAAGGTAGTGAAGGGATTTTGTTGTGCTTATGATTTTAGTATGTTTAAGTTTGACATTAGCATCTATTTTATATATAGTAACCATTTTATATTGATACTTATAGTGTTATCATGTAATCATTGTTTTATTTTGTAATCATTATTTTGTAGTTAATTGCCTGATCAGATGCTTTATATATATATATATTGGAAAAGTAAGAGCACAGTAAGGGGAGGGGGGAAAGGAATTACGGATGGAGCCTGGGTTGCTGTGTATGAGTCATCATCTAAGAATTATTTTTTTGTGCCATCTTATGCCTGGTACCAAGACCTGATCTTTTTGTTCTGGAAAGATATAAAAGGTGGAAGACAACTTTTCTGGTTGTTGCCTTCATTCCTCTACCAGTCACGAAGAGGAATCAGGCAGCCCCTCTCTGTTTTGATCAAAATAAAGTTGTAACTTTTGTTGAAACCTCGGCTGAGGAGTTTCTTTGGCTCTTTTAAATTCCTGAGTAACGCTGGGGCAAATGTGAGGCTAAGTGGAAAACCTTACAGTAGTTACTGCAAGCTCATTGACTTGCATCGTATCTGGTTGCTGGGCAGATTGCCTGCAGAGCCATTGTGGTTTTTACTGTTGGACTGAGAAGGCACCTGATTTCCACAGGAAACCATCTACTGGGCTGCTTTCAACCACTGGTGTGTGTGGGGGAACACAGCATTACAGAGTATTTGGGGCAGTTGTACAGTTCTCTTCCCCAAACATATTTTTTGAAGACGATTGAAACACCAGAAATGCAACTTGAGTTTGACCAGTTTTCATATATTCTGATATGTTCCCCAGGTGTTCTCTGACTAATCATGTGCTTCATAAACATCATCAAATGGTTTAACCAAACGAGGTTAATGTATAGCAATGACTGCAACACTTTTCTTTCCCCTGCTGTGAGACCTAGATAGCAGCTCCTAATTGCAGGAAATGTTGGGAGACAACCAGTCACAGTACTGTTTGTCAAAGTAAGAAGTGGACGTTGGGTACGCTGAGCCAGGGAACCTGCTAATGCTGAGTTCTATCCTTCTTAAGCAATGGTAGTTATAACTCTGATGTTCGAATTGATATATTACTGAGTAACTTCATCATACAGTATGCATGAAGCTTATTATCATGCAGAGACAAATGAGGAATCACCTATGCAAAAGGGTCAACATGGACAGCCAGATTAAGTATAACCTAATGGTGAAAGGAGGGCAGTTCAGCAGGATACATGGTGTAGATCTTTGGATCTATCATAGTAGGATTGTAATGCATGGATGAGTTGTGTCACTAGTACCCCTAAGCTGAAAAGTGCTTGGTGTACTGCAAAATGGATTATAGCCCATGCAGGTACCTGCTGCATGGCAACCAGCCATTTTATGAATGGCCTCCTTTGATCATTATTTGTCTTATCTTGCCATCCATGGACAGGATCCCAGACAGCCTGACCAGGAAGCAATTTGCAGAGGTATCAGTGTTCCCAGGAAATCAAGATGCATGACACTGTCAACGAACCCTATCAAAAGTCTTCCATAACTAATTCATTGCAGCAGGCAGGCACTTCAATGTCTCACCCCCACTGAAGTGTAGAGAGTGCCTGGTGGCCAGCAGGGATTTGGTTCCAAAAATTAGTCCTGTACAAACAGGCCAGCCTCCAAGGGGCCTAGTATCCCCAGGGGTTGAGGAGTAGCCACTGAAGGAAGGAAGGTACATTAAAATCAGTGTCTCATGGACTGCACAAAATTCTTGCCATGGCCATAAACCAATGGTGGCGAACCTATGGCACGGGTGTCAGAGGCGGCACTCAGAGCCCTCTCTGTGGGCACGCGTGCTGTCGCCCCAGTCCTAGGCTTTCAGCTGGGTTTTATAAAACCTTTTCGCTTTAGGCCTCTGCCGCCGTGTGCAAAAAAAAAAAAGTTTCAATCAGTCAATTTCAACTTCTCACTGGAAAAAAAAAGATCTTGCAGAGTTGAAATTGATTGATTGAACTTTTTAGTCCCACCCAGTCTGCTGTTACCACCGTAGCCATGCCCACCCAGTGGGCCACACCCAGCCAATGGGCCACACCCACCCGGCACCTGACGATGCATAAGTGGGTTTTGCATTGCAGTTTGAGCACTCGGACTCTAAAAGGTTTGCCATCACTGCCATAAACCATAGGAATAATCTCCAGTGCACTTGTGCTGGAGAGCCAGTCGCTGCTGCAACAGGTACAGCAAAGTTCACTTATTACAGTCTGCTTTCACCTGGTTGGTGATGGGAAAGTGCCTTTCTAGCAATCAGTGAGCCACGAAGCACACTAACACTATGTATTGTTTTCAGCCTTGATATATAACAGTTTGTTCTAGTCCTCAAGAACAAGTTGAGCACTGTAGAACTTTCTTCAGGTAAAACAAAACAAAATAGAACTGGATCATGCGCAATAATATACCAACATACATGCTGTTATCTGGACTTTCGTAGTTATGAGATTTCCACACATCTCAGCACAGGGCTAGGATGAAGATATATACCGCTTTATCCTCAATATACTGATGATACCACAAACTGATAAATAACCTTTCACCCTAGCTTCATGAAAATATGAGAATGGAAAATCTTGGGAGATATAAGCCCTGTGATATTCCAACTATTCTAATGCTAAGCCAATCTTTCTTTCCCAAATAGAACTACCTGTTTAAGAAGGAGTGGTATCACTATAATATAGTAACTATAATATGGCATGTTATAGTGCATAATGCACTTTCTTATTATATCAGTTTATGTCAGTTTTCAGCAAGGAATGACCTGTTTCAATGAATGTAGATTGTATCCTGCATGGAAAAAGGACTTAGAAAAGCAGGAAGGAAGACCCTATTATTTTTTAATGGGAAGCCTTAGCATCTAATCCATAGATTAAGATTCAGCTCACATGGCTTTGTACAACCTCTCAGTTGGGGCATTTTTATCTACACAAATTAATAAGCAAATCAAATTCTATACATCTTTAACAGACAATATCTACCTATCAAATAGATCAATGGTGGCGAACCTATGGCACGCGTGCCAGAGGCGGCACTCAGAGCCCTCTCTGTGGGCACACGCGCCATGCCCCGGAGATGGCAACTGTCCCTCTTCAACCAGCCGTCTGCTAATTCGCCAAGGTCCCATGTGGCTGGATGCATCCCAGCATGGCTGGTTTCCCTCCCTCCCCCCCGTCCCATCCCTCCTGGCCTCGCATGCTCTGCTTTTCCTGGGCATGACCCACTGCATTGCCTCCTCAGCTGTCGGCCGGCCATCCAGCTCAGAGGTGGCTTCTCTGAACTGCTGGGGGTGGGCTGCGGAGCCCCAGAGTGCACTGATCGAGGGGCCGGCAGGCTGTGGCTGCTGATGGACGCTGTCAGCCCCCATGCGCTCGCTGACCTCTGTGTGTGGGGGCCCATGGTGTCAGGCAGCAGCTGCCCTGGCCCCTGCCTCGCTTTGCCCTGCAACAATGGCACCCACGCCCTGCCTCACCTTGCCTCGTCTCACCCTGCAGGATGAGCCTCCTGCCCACTGCCCCACCTGCCAGAGACCCCCTGGATCTCCCCCAACCCTGCCCGGTCCCCACAGGCGTCCCTCCCCATGAGCAACATTGAGGTGACCACACCTACCTTGGACACACCCACCCAGTCTGCCATGACCACCATAGCCACGCCCACCCAGTGGGCCA